TTGGTTTAATTGAGTATATAATAAAAATATTTTTTTTGAAATATTTAGTCTCGTTCATAAAAAAAAAACTAGATAATTCTGATGGATTAAATTTTTTAATAATGTGTCAGAATTTCAAAATTGAAGTTAAATATGTTCATAATTATGTTATATTATATTGTTTTACTGTTCTTTTCATTAAAAAAAAAAACCATTATGGATTGCACTTTGACAATAATTTTAAAGTGTTTTAGAATTGATAATGGATTTATTAAGGTTTATATGATGCTTTTGTGCTATTTTTAGGTTAAAATAAGGTTTTTTTTTTTTGGGGAGGGGGGGGGGGGGGGGTGTCACACATGTAGAATTACTATGCATGCAACGAGAGGACTATGGTCCGATGATTCGTATCGACAAGCTACATGTGGATCATAGAAAGATGAATTTGTCTCGGAGTTAAAGAGGATTTGATGCTCCTAAGAAGATTCACATTTACAATCTATAAAAAACAAACAAGAAGAATTATTATATTTTATAAGTTTGCTGGCAAATAATTAGGATCGTTACATGTCTCTCTCATTCAGCACTTGCCTAGTGTTGATGCATGCACGACAAGACTCACGGGTGTGTTTCATTGCTGATAAAAAAAACAATAAATTATAATATGATATTTGGAGATCGTACATACATGTAGAGCTGATTAATAAAAAATGTAATTGTCTTGAAGTTATGAGTTTGATGCTTAAAACTATGAACACGCATCACATACAGAATTATCATTTATTCATAACTATTGTAATTGATTTTTTTATTCCATATTAAAAAAAAATGATGAAAAAGTAAAGAAATAGGAAAAAAAAAATAACAACTTGGGTCTCTCTCCAAAACAATCATTAAATAGAGAGATAGGGAGACAAGGAGATTGAAAAATAAGAAGACATAAGATTAAAAATCAGAATGAGTGAAAGGATATGCAAGGAAAAGCCTATAAATAGACTACATAGTAAGCAAAAATAAAAATAAAAAAGGGAAAGAAAAAAAATTCTTGAGAGAATAATAAAAGAAATCATAAGGGAAAGAATAAAAAAGAAAAAGATACATTGAGAAACAAAAAAACATATTTTTGTATGTTGCTTACCACTATATAACTTCTTTCTATATAAATCCACAGTCTTCATATTTTTCTCTTTACCAAAACATCATTACAGCTACCACTAATTACTCTCTTCTTCTGTAACCAAACTCACAATCCAATTTCTTTCATCTTTTTGCTTGATCAACTACCAAGATCACAACTAGCCCTCATGCTATTATGAGTCATTATAAAAATTAAATCATAACATCATATAACAATAATGATAAAAACATCAACCATCTAGGTGGTGGCCAAGTGGTAAGAACTTGGGATCAAGGGGTTTGCTCCCTCTGTGGTCTCAGGTTCGAGTCCTTGGTTGCTCATATGATGGCCACTGGAGGCTTACATGGTCGTTAACTTCAGGGCCCGTGGGATTAGTCGTGGTGCGCGCAAGCTGGCCCGGACACCCACGTTAATCTAAAAAAAAAAATAATGATAAAAACATCATCAAAGAAAAAGATTAAATTAAAAGAAAAAAAAAGAGAGAAACAATAAATACCAAAATTCTTCTTGACCTAACTTTTTTTTTTTTTTCTTGACCTAACTTTGATCACGAGTGATGGTGGATTACACCATGGGTTTAGAAGAAAAAGAAAAAGAGGAGGAGGAGAAGCCTATAATTTATTAACTCATAAGCCTTCCTATTTTGCCTACACATGCAACGATTCTCTATAATCTAGCTTGTTTGTCTGCATGTGTAATCCATGTGCCTCCATTGCTAGACTAATTTTTAGTGCATTCTAGTCAGCTCTAGCAGCTTCTAAATGTTAATTTCAAACCCTAATGCATTGATTTATCTATTTTGATTAATTTATAATATATTATTAATCTTAATGTGTGTATATGTAATGTGAGGTTTTGTGTCCTAATGTTATGATTATATGGGTCTTAGGTTTCTCCTTTTGTGATGTATGTTGATTAAAGAATTGACTTAAGGATGACTTAATCCTTAAAAGGGTTATGTCCCAGAGAAGTTGAGTTGCTTTTAAAAATAAATAAAGAATTAACTCATGGAAGAAATAATTCTTAAAAGAGTTTTATTCAAGAGAAGTTGAAAGTTTGCTGGTTTTTAGAAAATATAAATAATTTTTTTTAAAGAACCAAACTGTGGATGGTATAATCCTTTAAAAGGTCATGCTCATAAAAAGTGAAAGTTTTTTTTTATATAAAATATAAGGTTTTACTTTTTATTGAAGGATTAACTCAAAAATAGTAATATTTTTAAAAGGGTTTTTTCCTTCTAAAGCTGAAACTTTGCTTTTTTGTAAACATAAATAAATAAATATATAAACATATTTTTTGTTGTTGCAAGTATCACTCCTTATTTTTAGAACTTGTTATATATCGCATCTTATCGTTATGAGCAAGGTTGTGAATTCCATTATGTTCTAACTAAAATAGTTAATATATCTCGTACAATTTTAAAAACTAGAACAAAGTAAAACAAATTTTATCTCGCTCAGGATCTTGGGTCATTCTGGACTTCTCGTTCATATTCTGACTGAGATGTTTTGGTTTCTCACTCTTGTTCCATTCTAGTTGTATAATTAAGAAATTAGCTCTCTTATATATCACTTATAAACTCCCTTTTTTTAACACACACAAACTAGCTCTCTTATATATCACTTATAAACTCCCTTTTTTTAACACACACAAACTAGCTCTCTTATATATCACTTATAAACTCCTTTTTTTTAACACACACAAACACTCAGACAACAATTAACTCTCTTTTTGTATTGTAATCCTATCAACAAACACTAAAAATTACTAGAAATCAATAAAATTTAATTAGGTAAGTTCCCTTTATTCTAATACTTGCTTTACTTACTTATAAGCGGATGAATAATTTAAGGTTTTTTATTTTTAGATCAACCCTATAAATTTTCTTAAATCAAAATCAATCCTTTTAAAGGTAGACGTATCACTAAAATCTCTCTCTGGTTTCTTGAATATTAGGTAGGAAACATAAAGTTTCAATCTTTTTTACTTTATTGATGAATGTCTTAACAATATTGAATCTAAAATTTTTTCAGTTTAGAGTTTGTTTTGTTGACTAAAAGTATTAATTTTTTACCCTTTTGATTGTTATGATTGTGTACTATTTGTTTGGTTGTTAAGAAGAAAAGATTTAAAGTTAGGACATAAATTGGTTTGGTCATATTGTTTGTAAATTATTATATTTTGTAATTTTTAATTTGATTGACTATTTTTGCTATTTATTTTTTGTATTTGATTTTTCTCCTTTGATAAAAAAAACTTTTTGTTGGGTTATCAACTTATCATCCATCTCCTTCATAAAACTCCTACAATTTTCTTATATATATACTGATTGCTTTAATTTTAATATGTCATTACTTAGCATTGTTTCCCTTGATTACATAAGCGACCTTGTTAGTTATATTTTATTATCTAGCTATTTTTATGACCTATATGGAATGTTTCCCTTAATTGAGAACATGTGGCCTTTATATAGATTTGCTCCTAGACTTATAATTTAAAAAATAAATTATAATTCATATTCATGAGCTCATGTTTTACTTTTGTTATTGGAATGATTAAGGGCTTTGCTTTTATGTTTATATAAACATGAATCAAATAAATATAAAGCAATTTTTTTATTAGTTGTTAGTATTGTTATCATCCATTTTAGTTCAAAAGTTGTACTACAAATAAAAAATCTTTAGATTTTAATTAAAATTATACACAGAGAGAGGTTGCTAATTGTCCTATAATTTTTATTCCATCTCATTCCAATCAATGATTTAAGATTTATTTCTCCACTCTATACGATACTTTCCTAATAAAGTTAGATAATATAAATGAATTTCATCTTAACAAATCTAACTTTTATATCATCATAAAATTTAAATGAATAAAAAATAATAATTCATGTCATGAATCCACCTAATAAAAATCCAAGGGTCATAACAATTGTAAAAAATGGGACCCTCTATTTTATTATGTCTTATAACTCACTTATTAGAGTTATCATGGCTAGAGTAACCTAAAAGATAGTTTTATTGGTGGTGCCCTTGATGAACTTGTCTATAATGGTTATTTTTGGGTGTTTGAAGACGCGGTTGCGGTCATTTTTCAAAATGCTTTTCACTTAGAAATACATTAAAATAATATTTTTTTAAAAAATTATTTTTGACATCAGCGCATTAAAATGATTTGAAAACACCAAAAAAATATTAATTTAAAGCAAAAAAATTTAATTTTTTTCAAAAGCACTTTTGAAATATAAAAATAAATAGAGTTGTACTGGTTTTTGGGTGCCCTGTTTGGAAAATCTCTAAGGGTTCAACTCTCTAAAACAAGTTGATCATTTTGTTTCACATAAGATATGGTTCCTCTTCCATGGTTCTAAGGGTATTATTAAGGGTCAGATTCATGGTAATTGTAGACTTGATGTCAAACACCAAATCGTTATGATGTAAATATGTGCAACTTTAACTTGGAGATGAAATTAAGATCATAAGCAATTCTTATAGGTGAAATCATGATATAAAAATAAAAATAATCTTGTTTTTTTTCCTTTTTAACGTGAAGATTAATTAAAATCAAAATAAATTAGAAAAATTATAAACATGTAATGTTAAACTTCTAAATATAAAGGACTAATCAAATACAATGTCACACTTCCTATAAGTCTAGCAAAGACTTACTATAACGTGTGACGATTTCATAAGCATTTATAGTTAATTCCTTACAACTTGGTATGTAAAAAAAAAAATACGGGTAATTTTTTTTATTTATTATACACTGTAATGAAATTTCTACTGAAATTTTGGCAAAGTCTCCACTATATCGAGAGATACTAAGTTATTGACAACTCATCTTATACATATTTCATGTTCATTCCATCATCAATGCATATTCATATCGCGTCGCGACCACAATTATTATTAATCATAATATATTACAAATCCAAGGATTCATTTCAAACATATAATTTACAAAACAAACTTGATTTATAACATTAACATTACGAGCATAAAATCTTGAAGGTCTCTAAGATTAAGATAAAGGAATACTAACATTGTTCCTGTCATATAATTATCTAAAGAAAATACAACAACATCCATTTCATCCTAGGTTTAGGTAGAAGAAATAAGGATGCTAACCCTAAGTCATACAAAAGAATTGGAAATGCTAATTCCCTAATTCATACAAAAGAACTAGACACTTAGGACATTACTCTTGACGGGAATGAGAAAGACCTGCAACATCAAAATAAGAGAATAATTATATTAAATAAATAAAATACAACCAGATAATAGAGGATCACTACTACATTTAACTACGCATATATGTACCCATTTAATAGGGCATAATCATAGTTGATCTGTAAAAAAAGATCCTTTACTACATCTAACATCTATCCTTCCATAACCTACTTATGATTTTGTTTTCAATTATACACATCAACTTTTGTTTGATTTATCCTTTTTCTTATTTGCCGTAAAATTTTAGGCAGTTGCTGTTGACACTAATAACTTTTATTAGTGTCATTAGTCTTCCTTACACGGATAGACTAATCAATTCCTTAGCAATGCTGGCACCAAATTAACTGATTGATGCCATTGAGCTATTTCCAACCTAAAATAGTTAATTAATTACTCTCCATCGCACTTGGAGATGTTTCTGGAAATGCCAATGTCAGGTTCTCTTGACACCATTAACTTCCTCCTTAGAAAGTTAATCAAGTTATTATGGGCTTGCCAATACAAACATTATTAGTCAGTATTGTTAACTATTCATGATACAAATAGTTAATCAAGTTTAATATTCATTATATTTCCATTAAGGTCATGCCGATGTTAACAAGATTAGCCACCCTTATTCTGGGTCGGCTAATCAAGTCCATAAGTGGTCATTTTCTTTCTTCTTTTTCTTTTTTCTTCTTCTTTTCTTTTTATATACATAATATAAATCCATATCCAAACTCCAAATCTCGGAGCTTACAACCCAAATTCAGATTTCAAATCCTTGTCCGTTTCAACGTATCTTTCCTTTCTTTAGTCATATTCACTGGGTGAGCATATTTATATAATAATATTATTCCTCTTGCTTGTCTGTAACATTCACATAGAATTGGTATTTGTTTCCCTGCCTATAGGCAACATTCATATTATAATAACATTTCTTACTCACTTGTAACGTTCACACAAGAATAATATTTCTCCTACTTGTTGGTAAGTTTTATGCAATAATATTTATACTGCTCGTAGGCAATGTTTACATAGTTATATTTTTCATGATACACAGTAGTAGAAAATATGCATAATGTCTATCACATACTTGCATTACAAGAATTTAAACAATTTAAAGAAGTAAATGGGCAACCTTTACCTTGAACCCTTGTTGTACTTGCATTTGAGAAGCTGGGTCCCACTCTATATGCTTCTCTTACATTCCAGTAGAACATCCTGAATTAGTACCCAAACCCTTTTTTTGATTCATTCATTATTTCACATGCCCAATTAATTTTGAAAACAAGTTCATGGATAAACTCTTTTTATTTATCACTTTATTTTGTTAAATTAGCATTTATTTACACTAACATTTAATGGTCGAACAAGTCTATTTTTCATTAATAATTTTCAATGTCTTATGACTCAGTTTTGCATCAACGTAATTCGGTGTTCTATGACTCATAACCGGAGTCTCATAACTCCAAATAAAGCAAAATTTGTGTCAATAGAAAGGTAACACATTTACCTATAATCTTATGAAGGATCACGCATCATAATCCATTAATATCAAATCCCAAACCAAACTAGAAGTTAGACACCAATTCTATCTAGTAGGTTTCAGTCTCACCTCCTCTTAATATTTTGCTCATATACAGATTTATATAACTCCAAATAAAGCACAATTTATGTCAATTGAAAGCTAACACATTTATCTATAACTTTCATGAAGGAATATGCATCATAATACATCAATATCAAATCCCAAACCAATCTAGAAGTTATATAACAAATATATCTAGTAAGTTCTATATATAGGTATTTTACCTATATATAGAGTTCTATAACTCCAATGGAGGTAATACCAGTGCCAAAAGTTAGCCAATTCATTTCTCTACAATCTTTATATGAAAATGAGTGACAAATTCCTTCATCTACAATGTCTAATATTAGTGAGAGTTCTAACCAACAAAACTACCATGTTATGAGTAGTTTGACCTTTTAACGGTGTTTTACCTATTTTTGGAGTTCTATAACTCCAATTGAGATAAGATCAGTGTCAAACATTAGCTAATTCATTTATCTACAACTTTTATAAAAATATGCAGTAATTTCCTTCATCTTCAATATCTAATATTAGTGAGAGTCCTGACCAACAAAACTATCATGTTCTAAATTTGTATATTTAACTAGCAATTTATCACTATAACATTCTTACAACTCAAGTTTCCCTTTTACATTCTTTTTAATTTGTTTTATAACCATTGTCTTCAACATACATTCACGACATATATACTAATTTACATGGAAACACTTTTTAACAATCAATGCAAGCTATAAACATTTCTCACATCATCATTGCTTAATTTAACATTTAACATTTAACATATATGCTCATAAGAATTTCTACATGTAATTATCTTATACAATAAATTTCAGCATATATTTAAAATGTAAAATGATCAAATATATATTCTTTGGAACATGTAAGTAATAAAGATTACATTAGAGAAATCCCCTTTTTATCCTCCTTTTTTAGTTGAAACTTACATGGCTTTGGAACCCAATTGTTATCATCAATTTCTCATAATTTTCAACATATTATATGTCAAATGAACCTCTATCTATCATCCCTCTTCAGAATTTTTATTTCCCTTAAATTATGTAAGAACCTTAAAAGTTAAAATTTAGGATTCTTCTAAATTACTCACCAAAACCAACATAATAAAGAAAAAGGGTTAAAGAATATATCTCACTCTTTAAAGTTCATACCCAATTTAGAGTGTCCTTTAGAATATATTCTTTAAACTTGTTCTTCTTCTTCTTCAAGAACCCATACCTAATCACTCAAGCTCCTTTCCTTTAAACAAGTTTTCCCTTCACAAATTTTAGCTTAACACTTTTCTCCTTTAAAAATCACTTATAAAACTCTAACTCACTCTTTGGGAAGGTGTTTGTAAGCTCTTCAAATGAAGGATTTCTGAAATGGTTCTCTCCCCCCCTTTTTATTTCTTTTGTCTAGCGTGAACCATAGAGAGGATTAGTGAAATTCTGGAAATTTATAAAAATAACCTTAATGAGTTCATGTGTAAATTTCTGTATTTTATTTTCTAACCATCGTTAGTTTTACTATATTTTTCTGAACTCTGATTACTTAAAATTTTTAAGCCTAGATAAGATAGTAAGTTTAGAAAGTCTCTGCAAAATTTCAGCCCTATCCAACGATTAGATTAAGAGATATAATCAATACCGTAAAACTAGATAATCAGTGTCTTTTATGTTAAAACCCGAATTTCATGCTTGAATTTATTCACTTAGAATATCATGAATTTTTTTCCTCATTAAATTCAATATTACCCCATCCATCACTGATTTATAAAAATAATGCTTTTATCTTTTGAAGCTCTTCTCCGATTTTGCTAACATTACAAATGTTGATCCGAAATTCATAACTCTCATTTCAAATTCCACCATACCTTAAAATTTATTTATGGAGCTTATTCTCTTCCTTACATATCAAATTTATTATTATTATTATTATTATTATTATTATTATTTTCTACTATATATTCTTTTTTTTTTATATTGAGTCTCCATTACTCATGGAGGTCTTTCACTTTTTTTTTTCATATAGAATATGTAGTGGTGCATCTCTTGCAACTGACCAACAGTGGTGTATCTTCAATGGTGTTAGGTGGTGAAATGGTGTTATCTATGGTGATTTATGGAGTCAAATGCTATTGATCTGACTACTATAGGTGATGGTGTGGTTATGGTGAATCAGGTTTATTGATATGTTAATCCTCTCCATCAATTTGCTTTATTGATCTTGGTTTCCAGATCAAGATCATGCTCTTGCTTTCTCTCTTTGTATTGCTTAAGTTTTTCTTCCATTAATATCTAATTTATGCCTTTCATTTCCTTTCCTTTACTTAGTTAACTTTTATCTTATTTATATTCTTATCTTGTTTATTTATGTTTCTCTATTTCATTATGTTTAACTAAGTTTATTATGTCAAGGTGAAAATGTTACATTAATGGTGTAAGAATAAGTATAGTGTAAACTCAACATGGGCCTTAATCTTTGATACTAACATGTTTTGTATTTGTTATCTTGTTCACTTTTAATACTTTGCTTGTTAAATGGTTAATCTAGATTTATGTTGTATAACACTTGGTACAACAAATACTTGGCACTTGTATAGCCCATACTGTATGGTATAACCGATACTTGTGCTATGAAAGGAACTTGATTTGTTGTTAACATAAATTATAATCATGAATGCCTAACAATATTTACAAGTATTAGCACTATTCGAATAAGATAACTAATGCAGTCATGTTAACAATTTATAATCTGATTAGAATCTTCTTTGTGTATGGTTTCCAATTGAAAAATAAGAGTTTATACTAGTTTGACATACCATTAGTGAATCTTCTAACCTTGACATTTGTTGTTGTCATTATTTAATCCTTATGTTAATCTTCCATCTCAAAGTTCTCATCAACTTTTTCTTTTTCTTCTTTATTACTAATTGAATGTTTGAGATGGCCATGCTTGTTTGGAAAACAAATTGCATTCGTAGGTGAGTGAGACTTGTTTAGGATCAACATTATAATTTCGGATTTATTATTGTGTTGAACATTGCATGTATTAATTTGGGATATATAATATCTTATAAAGCAAGATATATCATACTTTTTTCTTTAAGATTATTGAAGTACATCTTTCCTTGTAAAAGTTGTGTGAGTTGTGTGATTATGCATAAAAGATGAGTGTGATGCTTTACTTGTGATCATCCCTTTTTATCTAATCCTAAACAAGGTTTAAATAAATAGAGTAATAATTATTAGAGAATTAAATAAACAAAAGTGTATAAATGCCTTGAGTTGCTCAGTAACTATAGATATTCATCACAAATATTTATTTTTACGTCAAATGGCAGCTTGAAATATAAGTATGCAAAAACACTTTAAGTTTGTGACTTTGTGAGTGACATGACCAAAAGATTGTTGTCTTCTTCCAAGTGCAGGAGTATCGAAGTAATAAATAACCCGGTAAAACCTGGGTTGAACCATAGGGAGGTTAGTTGTACAAATTATAAATAATAATAATATAACAACAACAACAATAATAATACTAATACTAATAATACTATTAATAATAGTAATAATAATAATACTAATAGTAGTAGTAGTAGTAGTAATAATAATAATAATAGAAAAGGAAGAAAAAAAAGAAGTTGATGAGAACTTTGAGATGAAATATTAACGTATGGATTAAATAATTATAACAACAAATGTCAAGGTTAGAGGATCCACTAATGGTATATCAAATAAATATAGTATAAACTCTTATTATTCAATTGGAAACCACACATAAAGGAGATTCCAATCAGATTATAAATTGTTAACATGATTACATTAGTTGTTTTATTTGATTAATGCAAATACTTATAAATATTGTCAGACCTTCATGATTATAACTTATATGTTAACAACAAATCAAGTTTCTTTCATAACACAAGTGTTGGTTATACCATACAGTATGGGCTATGAAAGTGCCAAGCATTTATTGTACCAAGTATTATACAACATAAATCTAGATTAGTCATTTAACAAGCAAAGTATTAAAGAGTGAACAAGATAACAAATACAAAACATGTTAGTATCAAACATTAAAGTCCATATTAAGTTTACACTATACTTATTCTTACACCATTACTGTAACCTTTTCACCTTGACATAATAAAATTAGCTAGACATAATGAAAGAAAGCAAAATAGATAAACAAAATAAGAACATAAAAGTTAACTAAGTAAAGGAAAGGAAATGAAAGGCATAAACTTGATATTAATGAAAGCAAAGCATAAACATTACAAAAAATACAAAGAGAGAAAGGAAAAGCATGATCTTGATCTGGAAACCAAGATGCCTAAATGCATGGCAAATGCCTCCTTTTATAGGCCAAAATTGGGAACTATTGATTTGATGACTAATTGATGAGTGGGTGGCCAACTCTTGACTTGGTGACAATCCTTATCTTCTCTTGTCTGCCCAAAACGTCATTGATAACGTCAAAACTGGAGCCAGTTGCAAACATGAAAGTTGTAGGCAATTGTCTCAGCTTTCTTGTGTAAAAAATTCAGCTCATTTGGACTTCTAGAACTCCAGATATGGCCAAAATACCGAACAGTGCTCGGGCTGGAAGACAGATTCGGGCTTCTTTGTTGTTGCTACAATTTGGACTTGATAATGTATGCTAGTGGAACAAGCTTAATTGGAATT